AATATTTTTGGTTTTTAATCACTGGCGGAGGAAGTTATTTTTTCTATTTGTAAAATAACATTACGAGAAAGATGAAAATTCGTCTACTTGCATGGATATGTGATATTCGTTCAAAATATCTCAGCAGCCATTTCCATAAAAGGAATATAGAATCCAGATATTTTCAAAAGGTTACAGTTATTAATATTAGAATGGATATTTGATAGTTTTCGAGAGAGCTTCGGTTATTGTGCGAATTTAAAATCAACATCTCAAATGTATCCAGTATCATTAAGCTGCTGCAAGTAGCCGAATTATTACTCTCTTTTTATAGTTATTTTTACAAGTTTATACATTTATTATATTCTTTTTATGCTGTGTACCAATAAAAATGACAGGTTTCTTTTATGATGTTCAATTAATTTTATATTCTGCCCATTTATTACAAAATAACAGCTATTTAGTTTCAGCAACTTTTCGTTTGTTATCTTGAGTTTTTTAATTTAACTTTATATTTTTAAAGATAAACCACGTGAACGAAAGAAAACCGCCTTTAATTTTCGAAAAGAAAACTCTCTTTCTCCATTGACAAGTTTCATAATAAGTATTGTTTTCTATAGTTTGTTTGTTTCTAGTAAATTTGTTATCTAGTTCCATATATTCTTAGGAAAAGCACACAATTCCGTGCTTTGTACTATTCTCACAGATTCAATGAATGTAGCGCGCATCCCATTGGATTCTTGTCGAGACTAGCGACGCTTACTGTGGAATTATTGATATCTTGCTTTCGATACTGAATATCCTTTGCATGAATAGTTTGCTTTCGATCTCAGCTGGGCCGAGAGCTGCCTCGATGTCTGAAAGGAGATATTGAATACACACAATTTAAATTATTCTACTTAAATCATGTGATTCAGAGTATGTCCAACCGAAGTAACGATATCCAATGCTTTTAGAGCTATTCTTTTCGATTTTTACCAAAAGGAGGAGAAAAGGTGAAATAAGGAAATCGTGTCCATCTTACTGGACGTTCGACACGAGGGTAAGGATAAATCTAAAGCCTTTGCGATATTTAACGCGCCACAAATTGATTTTGATCAAATCGATTATAATTTCTTTTGCAACTTATTTTGCTCCTCGGAATATAAGCTCGTAGAAAAAATGATAAATAAGAGGAAGACAAAATAGACATCTCCGCATCGTTATCATCGCCACTCCAGCCGATATTCCCGGCACTTGTTGTCTCTCCCATGGACATAAAGTTCCGTTCCATCCTCATTGCGCAAAACCACTTCTCCCCGTGTCGACCGCACTACTCCAGGACGTGCCGTGGCCTTTCATCTGGTCGTCGAGACGAGATCGCGGCAAAGGGTCTGCGGCGTCTCGACGAAAAGGAAATATTGTGAGAAAATTCCCTTTTTCGCCGCAACAGCCCGCCTCATTTGAGCCGCACAGCGTAACCACAAGCGAAATAAAATTCAAAGGGAACTGCAGTTGGTCGTAGTTAGAACTCGTAGCGATATCTTTTCGAGCTAGCCATTTTAATTTTATTCTCGTTTTAATTCTACAATGTGTGCCGTTTCCGTCGGAAGAAGTTCTATTTTAAAGCAATACGAATTTCAATGAGACGAAGTAGAATACTTTTTGCCTATCTTTGGACTTTATTGATTCTAACGTTAGAAATTGCGGATATATAAGAAAGTATAAATACAGTAAAAAACTAATATAATAATCTACTTGAACAAGATATTAATATAAAATAATATATTTGAGCGTCGATATAACACAGAAATTATATAATACACACATATATATATATATATATATATATATATATATATATGTATGTGTGTGTGTATTATATACACGGTAATTCGTTACTTATTAATTTCTTTATTTGTGCACCACGTACTTCGCTTGTCTCGCATTCGCCGTTGATTAATTTGTTGGAAATTACGTTTAAGAAGTTATAATTTTTTAACTAACTCACTAGTATTGTGTGCTATTTGTATTATAAAATATACAAAAGATTAATCTTCTCTTATTATAGTTATTTTATTTTGTATGCAGAACACATTAATATCGTTTGCAAACTGCTTTTATATAAAAAGGATTTATTAAAAAAATGAATACAGAAGCAATTAAAAGTTTTTTTTTTACTAATCGTACAGAGTAGAATTTATCTTTATTAATATTATGTAATTTTGTTACTTTTAATACATTATAATATATTAATTTACTTCGTATTTCACGAGTTAAATTACATTCATGAAATATATATCCATGCATAAAAAAAAATACAAACGTATTTCTGTAGGAAAATAAATTATATGTTTTTATGTGCGATTTACAGATGCGCGTATGTATAGGTATATGTACCTGCCTGTGACAATTCGACGTTTTCCGCTATAATATTTTTCAATTTATATGTTAAACACAGTTATACCGCGTTTTACTACTGTATTTTATGTAGCCGTAGTTATAAAAGCAGCCTCGATTCATTAAAAAATAATGCTCCATTACCCAACAGTCTGCGGAGTAGTATTCTCGCGTAAAATAATGAACAGTTTTCAACATTTTTTTTGATAGAATCTTTTCCGTTGTTAAACAGCAATTCGTTCTTTGCGTCAGAATAGTACAGAAGTCGTATCTCTGCCGAACGTTTTATCGCAAGTTATTTCTCTACAATAAATTTTTTTTTTATCTTTCCGGTGTCAATTAACATTTAAGTATCACTTTAGACGATTTATACAATCCACGTTAGATTTTCGAATTTTATTTATGATTTTAATATATTTTTGTATCTATTTGCATATATATATATATATTTATCATATACTGTTATATTTTAATATGTTTTTTACATGTATTTCCAGAAAACTAGTGTATTTAAAAGATATCTTGAAAACGTCGTGTATTTTAAAAATGTATTTTTATAATATCTTTAAGATTTTTCCAAAAAGTTTTCAAGATTTTTCAAATTTTATAAGATAATTTTTTAGAATATGCAGCTATATTTATATTGTCGACCAATCTGAATATAAATAATATAGTCTATAAAAAAATGTGTGCTGTTAGTTAAAATCTGGCATTTCGATATTTTATATTATTTGTATTGCACCGACACAATTAAAACGAAACTTTTCGGAAACGCGTTAAGCGGAAAATATAATAATTCCAGACGGGAGCTGGAATTATTTGACAAATCAATGATTTAATATTTATCATAATTTTACTAATGACAAAAATTCCCTATTTATTATAACAGATTAAAGTTATATAAATATTAAATTATTTGTACCGACTTATCAAGCGCAGTACCAGCTCCTCTTTTGCGTTTTCTTTTTTGTTAACGCGTAATTATTTATACTAATTAGTACCTCTTACATGAAATGTTTAAAAGTAATCCCAAATAAAGCGTCTGAAAGACGTCTTAAAACAGCAAGTATCTCAAAGACGTCATAAAAAACCAACATTTTAAAAACGTCAGATGTTTTTCTGATGGTTCCATAGAATGTCTTCGAAAATTTTTTAATGTCTCTTAGTTCTAAACGTCATCATAATGCTCAGTTTGTATCTTTGTTTTTCCAAATGTTTCCTCTATTACACGGCCTATAAAGTGACAAATAGAATTCTATCTTAATTTTCAATACGAATTATAAATCGTTTAAAGTGAATTTAATACAACTTTTCACATATCTCATTAATATTCATGCAAGAAAGAAATATTAATGTAAATCTTCTACAATGTTTTCACCTTATACGCGTTAAATAAAAAATGGTTAATTTCAACCCAGTAATCAATTACAATTAAGTTCGTTTGATCGTTTCACGAATTAACTCTAGCCGTCTATGAATTTGTGTCAGTCATCTATCATAGATTCAATTCGTCTATTTGCGTTCTTATCAACCCTGTCAAATTTTCTACCAAGACGCACCGGGAGGCCGTGCAATCTCCCCTGTCCGATTTAGGCGCAGTAATTGCATCAGTAACGACTATAATTACAGACGGCGGGCGTGCCGAGGGCGTGGGCGACGCACGGGGGCGAGGACGTGCCGGTGTTCGCCGTCGGGCCTCTCGCGAGCGCCCTGTTCTCCGGTAGCGTCGATCAGAGCTACATCCCGCACGCGATCGCCTACGCCGCCTGCCTGGCCCATCACGCCAGCCGCTGCTCCCGGGATCCTACGAACAACGCGAATGCCAGCGACACAATGAACGCCGCGCCGATAAGCTGTCCCTCGGCAGAGCCGAACAGCGCGGCGATATCCAGCGACGTGATGAACGACCGCATGCGAAATCCACCCACGAAATCCGCCGCCGGGCCTAGCCGTTCGTCGCTCGGCAGCAGCCCCACGCTGCTGTTGCCGCTGCTGCTACTGCTGCTGCTGTCGCCGCTGATGCCTCTGATGCCCGTCGTTCTGCTGATTCCCCTTCGGTGTCCCTTCGAAAGGACGAGTTAATGCGCTCCTTTCTCCCGCGTCCGAGGAGGAGAGCGGGCCTTCTGTGCGACGTCGGAGGTACACGACAGCGCGGAAAATCCATCCTGACGCGAACGCGTAGTAATAATGGTCGATTGAGCGACCGCAGTGTAAATTTGACGAGACGCGGGCCTTCGAGAGTGGTTTCGTTCCGAACGAGTAGTGATGATCGTCGGCGCGTCTCTCGGTGGACCGTTAAATGGATCGTTTGTCCAGTAGCCATAGCCATAGCTGTGCGACAGTCAGCGAATGTTGACGCAAGTGGCACACGGTGTAACGTCACGGTACAGCGCGGAAAATCCTCGCAAGACGAAGAGCGATTCGAGAGCGTTTTAATAGGAAGGGTCCATCGTGGGGATCTCCTCGAAGAAAGACGTATCTACATCCCCTCGCGTAAGAGTCAACGGCTGACAAATCGACGACGAATTCGTATAGACGATACGTCGCGTGACGTCGGTGAGATGACACGACGGCGTATCGCTTGTTAGTCCTCTCATGCGTTTACATGATCCCGTGTCTCGGAATATAATCAAGTACTTGAACTTTATGTGATAGTTTAATTGATACGAGTTCTTGTTTGAAAGATCGCCCAAAGGCTCTACAAACTTTATGCTAATGATTAAAGCCCTTTCATTAAAGAGCTTCAATGAGAAGATTGGGAGAGGAAGTCTTACTTGTTATTTCAAGAGCTTTTAAGAGCTAAGGAAAATAATGGCATTTAAATCCTAATATTTTCTCAACAATCTCTATTATTATTGATTATTACTACTTATTTAGGAATAAATTCTTTATAATTACGTCATTTCTTGTTTTTTTTCCAATTGAAAGAAGGAAATCCTTGCATGAGAAGATTAATTACATTGGTCGACTCTGCGAAATGTCTCGGAACCATTGCTACTTTCTACGGCTATATATTTCTTTCTCTCGATCAATTTAAAATAAAATATATTTTAAAGATAAAGATTCTATTAAAATTGAATTTATTTGGGATTAAATGGATTTCTTTCGAAAAACAATTATACCGTGAAATCTATATAAGCATTACCTAAAATTTCTGTCAAAGTTTCGCTAATAAGGAAGAAAGAAAAAAATCATCTTCGGTTTATAATTAGTCAATGAATCTGAACGAAAAGAATGCCGATGTTTCTGACACATTTCGCACATTCCGGAGATCCACTCGCCTATCTTTCAAGTGGCGACTTACCGTAAATTCTCGAAAGCATGTTTCTTGCCGTATGATAGCGCATTACAACGAACAATAATGCGGCCTCGATCTAAACTGTCCAACGAACAGGCCGTAAAACAGCTCTCGAGTCGTGAGAATTTTGAAGTAAGATAAAATGTAAATATATATTAAGAAGCAGACACAATGTATAAATATGAGACACGCATCCACACATCGAATGTAAACTATAGATAAGATTTAATCAGCAAATCGAGACGGACTCCTTATCAGCGCACGCTGGCACGCTATTCTTGTAATTGTGTTTGTTTCATTTTTGTGCTTTTTTTTAGGTAGGATCATATTAAATTGGACTAGAGAGAGAAGTAATTACAACGCGGGTGAAATGATTTTTCACAAAATTTATTTTGCACCGAGCGGTTGAGAGAAAAAGTAATTCACAGGTGAAATTATCACATTTTATGTACATCACGCTGCTTCGCTTACGTTTCTTTTTTATTTTAAGCTTCTCGCAACGTAGAGTAGTCTTCAAAGTAATCTTCGCGATTTCGTCATTACAGAAATTAGTCGTGCATTTTTGTCCGATTAGCCTGACAGTCCGTTGCTCCATTTCCTAGATTCGCCCGCTTCGAGCGATTATTATTGAGTAATCCGCCCGTGCCGTCTTTTCAAGTTCATTCGTAATGTATCGCGATCTCGCGCTGAGTGGGAATTGGAGATCAACCGGCGGCGCATTCATGTATTTGTGACTAGTACCGAGGGAATTGCAGCTGCGCGAGCTGAGAGTCCCTTTACCATTCAATTCTCCAGAATCCATTCTCGCGAGGAGCGTTTCCAGTTTTCACGAGGCTGTATGAATTTTATAAAACGTTTCGCGCGTATTCGCGAGCAGCCCTGAGAGATGATTTGCCTATTTACGCGCTAAATCTCGCGGCTTTGATTTATAGTCCCCTCGGTTAATTGGCGAACTAATTGCGCCAACAGATTGCTGTTTTAGCTGATGTTTTAAGCTGGCAAGCGCTAATAGAATTAAAACCGCGTGTGGAAAAATACAAACGCGCATCATTTATCTCGAGCGTGAAAAGCAGAGGATATCTTGCAAACAAACACATAAAATAATATTTCAATTTTACTTTGAATTGATTATTATTAATTTTCACGGATTATGAAGTATTTGAAGATTTGGGTTTAGTAATTTACCTAATCGGCTTTAGTCCGGTCTTTTTCATTAGGCAGCGAATTTATTGACAAAATAATTGCTAATTACCGCATTTTTATATCAGACATATGCCGATAGAATTCAGCAATTTTATGCAGGAAGAGAAGAGCGCATTGTTAAAGAATTGTTTCTCTTTAAACATTGAATGCGAGAAACAAGATATCTTTATAAACATATGTACATTTATCATGTAATATTATCTCATTTTCAATTTCACTGTATCGCGTGTGTATTCTTGAACAGTTATGATTTTACTCGCGAGAAAATGTGTTATGATTTTACTCGCGGATCTGCAGTCCTCCTCATGGTGCTTGCAGTCGGCGAAGACATTGGCAAGATATAGTTACAACGAATCGCTATTTTCGTTTTTCCATTAGGCGTGCTGACTTAGCAAGGATTTTGCAGCGAGAAGGTCAATATCTTTTGCTAAGAGTGGCTTATTTTTACGGTACTCATTTCATGCAGGGTATGAAAACTAAAAGATATCGCGCGAGCGCGCATATGTTCGAGCAATATCTATATTTCGCTTCCAACTAGTACGAACTTGCTTCCAGGACTGTTCAAGTCAGCTCCGAATTTGTAGAGAAGTGAAGGCACAACGCGCATAACATATATATATATATATATATATGTTAGCAAATGACAGCACCTCGAAATGGCCGGAGTTAAACGACAATGGAGGCTTTGGCAAAGTAAATTTATCGTCGGGACGATGTCATCTTTACGATCGCGCGGCGTAAAAAGCGAAGTTCCACGGACGATGTAAATTCCTCTGCGCACATCCCGACCTCGGTTTGTAGATAGACGCCGTAAAACAGTTATAAGGACAACGAATGGAGGCTGAGCGTGTTTCTCCGCGTATTGGGGCCAGAACGAATAGAACTTTATCCGCGGACTTATCCCGATGCGAATTGCCGAGATGTTCGCGTATCGATTACGGTTTTCACGACTGAGCGCGGGCTTTTAATTGTGAACGAAACAAACATCTCGACGAGATGGGAAACGGACAGAATCCAAGTGGAGATTGTACGCTGTATCATCGCTTATTACACCAGATCAGAAACCTGAACGTTGCGTTGTTAAAATAATTTAATATATTTTAACATATTTCATTACAATTTATTTAATAAATGATGCACCTTCGACCTTCTTTGTCGAAAAATGAATTAATTTTAATGTGAAAACATGAATACACCATTCTCAAACTCTAATTTGGTGAGAGAAAGCCGATTTTGATATACTGCACACTGGAAAATGCAAATAACAAATCTTATTCCTCAGTTGGTCATTATAACTTATATATTATACATAAACAATATGAAATATTAATTTGAGCTTTACAGAGATGTTTTATGTTAAAATTTCAACTGCCGTGCGAAATGTAATGTCTACATTCTGACAAAAGAGAAATAAACACCGTGAATTTATTATTTATATGTGCAATTTAAAATATTTTATAAATTATATAAATATACTATTTTGCAAAATTGTTAAAATATACAAGTAGTTGCATCGCTTATTTGCCATCATTCGCCATCGGAGCAAACGCATTTCCTTCGCATATATCTCAAGCATTTTGAACTGGTTACGAATAAGGAATGAACGCGGTAATTGCCGCGCTTTCCTAGATTTTCAATAGCTTGAGATACTTAATTGCAGTTTGAATGCAAGATATCGAGTAACAATGACTCATAGATGGATAAATGTACCATTCGCGCTGGCGCGTCATGTAAAACTGAATGCACCGTAAAACGGTTGTAATGAACGTGAAAGAATAGGATGTTTCAGGCAAGGTACACAAGATGATGGTACTTGCGAATTACGTTGCGTATTGTTAAACGCACCGTACAATACGGCTCTACATTCCTTTGACTCGCATTCGCGCCGTTTAAAACTGGAGTAGAAGTTTAGGAGGAAATTACCAAACGCACGTTTTAATTGCTCAGTGTTTTAGGCGAGTTTTGCAAATTACGAATTATTTAAACTTTAAATCGGCGCGGAATCGCATTTACCGCAAACTTGTCACAATGCTATTAGCTGACGACAGGCTTATCGAGGCTTGCGTTACGGAATCGCAAAAGATTTTGATGGTGTCCGACAATAACGCATTAATATAAAGCTAATCCTTTTTAGCAGAAAACGATTTTCGTTAATAATTAAATTCAGAAATTAGCATTTTATTAATGTTTAAACATACACGTAATAATGATGTTGATATATTTATCACGAGCAAAATTACATAAATTGCCGCACATAAATTTTCCATAGTTGATAATATTGCCAGCCACCATTGACTTCTGATTAATTTTAATAGTAAATTAATGAGAAAACGCGTCAATGTGCACCACATAATCTAAAACGTTTAAATCACGAACACGTGACGCGTGACATTCAAGCCATCAGCATTCAAGCCGAGCTTACACTTCGAAGGACTTATGTTCAAATAGAATTCTAGCGATCGTGCGACGGATCACATGAGACCAAATTACAACAAGAGAACGCGATACGACTTCACCGATCTATATATTTCTGTAAAGAACATCAACCACAAATTATTAAGAATGTAATTTATTATAGATATCTGTATACTATTGTTTCGTAAAAAAAAAAGAAACCACAAAACATCTGTGTATTGCCCTTATTATCTGCCCTTATTATCCTTTCTCTTCATACACTTCCCTTCTTTTTTTTTCGATCGTAACGAGGGGAAAAAGGAAGCTGACTGCAAAAATTCACGAATGTACAACGCAAATTTGTGAAAGTAACATCATCAATTATTTTTCAGCATCGCTATGTATATCTTATTTTGCTTCCTCACAGAGGAAGCTTTGTTTTCGTTAAAAAAGAATTTTTTTTGTTTTTTTTTAATGTGTTCAGAATGTTCTAAAACGTCGAAAATTGCAATTTAAAAAAATGTCTGTATGTATGTATGTGTGTGTGTATGTGCCAAATTTACCGAAATTTTTATAACTCCAGAACTAATCAACCAAATCTTAACGAATTATATATGAAATAGAGATTGTTAACTCTTTACTAATAATTCCACAATCTCAAGCAACACAATGAAAGTATGAGCAAATATGCTTTATACATAGTTATATTAGTTTAATTCTTTGTTCATCATACATTTACAAATGTAATAACAAAAATAATATGTCTTGCTTAATTCATGTATAATGTAACAGAACTGAACTTGTGTGATGAAAAATATGTTTTGTTTGATTAATGTAGAATATAATAGAACTTTACTTTTACTTATGTAATGTATAGAAATTTTTAACACATTAATGAAACTCTGTTGGATTATATATAAGAACCAGAGAACTTAAATAATGTTCCTTTTTTTTTCTTCAAAATAATGCGAAGTTACCCTTGCTCTTCGTAAACTTATCGAACCCGAATGCTGAAAAAAGTAAAATTAAAAATTAGAGAGTCCTAAAATAGTGAAATTAATTGCGTCAAGTATTTGAGATAGAAACATTTTTATACCTGACGGTTTGTCGTCAGACTCAGTTTTATTATCCCGTCGCGGAGTATGTTTCGGGGAAGGAGCCATTTGTGCGTCTTCTTCGGCACAAATTGGCGATATATTGGAAGTCGGAGATAATCTGTAATTACACAGCGAACCCTCGCACAATGATGGCGCACCTGCAATAAAGTTTGTGTAATTTATTTACATTTATAACATATAAATACATCTAATTTTTTCAATTATAAAAGACGAGCAACTTAATTATAATCACAACCTTTTGATACGAAATCTTGATCGAAGGAACTCATATTGCTGTCACAATATTCGTAATTCGTCGGAGAAAACATACTGCTTGCGGCAACAGACAGCGGGCGCTGAACGGGTTTCGCCATTAACGGCGTAACATTGAAATTTACGGATTCTATCTTTTTAATCTTCGGGACCGACAAGGCCGAAGATCTCAAATCCATTTCTTTAACAATAGTCGACGGCTGAGGAGTAGTTATTTTATTGATAGTTTCCTTACTATCCTGCCTTTCAAGTCGCATCCTTTTTGCTTCAATTTCGTCCTGTGTATTCTTAGCGGCGCTATGCTTGAGCGGGCTTTCTCTTGTACGGTAGCTTGGTTGCGTTTTAACGGGCTCCTGCGACTTCTGCGTCTTTTCGTGATGGATCTCTTTCATTTCTACGTCGTTGTCGTCGGCTAAAATCGCTTTCTCAGCACTTGGCTCCGCATTCGATGCTACCGAAGC